CTATGACCTCACAAACATCTATTCTCCAATTTGTAGGGCTGCGCTAACGATTATTTTCATAATCGCTTAGTTAGCTGATTATTTTTTCGATTAAATCGGATTAAAAAAAAAATACCATCTTTAATTTAAAAATAAAATACACAAATAGAGTGTCACAAAAAGAAAGTTTACCTCAGAATAAAACTGCATGCACAATTTTTTGCAATCGCACGGCATTGTGGTACTGCGCGTTCCAATGCAGGCAAATCGCACAGTGGGTGGGAGGAGTGTGTGCACGCATTTGTGGGGGGCGGGGGACTTTGTTTGTATTTTTACATTTTAAATTTACATGTTTTACAACTTTTTTTGGTTATTTTTTTTGCAATCACATGGTGGGGCTCAAAAGCCCCCTACTTGATTGGAAAGGACAGGTTCTCTTTCCACTTCTTTGAGCTAAGGAGCTATTCAAGCACACAAGGCTTCAACAGCTTCGGCCAGGGAATGTAAACACAGCAGGTAGTGGGTGTGTGCAATAGCCAGTTTGCTACTGGCTATTGCATCCGCCGCCCACTGCTAAATCAGCAGAGGAGGGACCTAATGGAGAAACTCCTGCTACAGGTCCTCCTCTGCCGATTGACAGCAGGCGGGTGCAAAAGCCAGCCTGCTATTGGCTATTTCATATTGTAATAGCCAATAGCAAACTGGCTATGCACACACCCACTGCCTCCGAGCCTCTCCGACCTGTCCAGCACTGCCGCACCCTACTTGCTCCCCCCCTCTCTCGACCCCGGCATCTGAGAGCTGGTCTGTGTCTTCTCCAATGCCTCTGTCGAGATAGGCAGGGAAGAGCTGCGGGATCGGAGTGACAGACTTCAGCGGTGAGAAGAGCAGCAGAGTCGGTGGTGGCGGCTGCGCGGAGAACGGTTGAGCAGATTGGCGGCTGAGCTGAATCAACTAATCGCTAATGAGAATAGTTGACAATGATTCTCATTATCGATTAGTTGTTGCAGCCCTAACAATTTGTTTCCAGTCTTGGGGATGCCTCTTTTCAAGTTTGTACATGGCTTTTAAATTGGTACCAAGCAGCTGCTGAACCAAAAGTACAGTTTATAAAGCAGCTCATACTTAGTGACAGGTGTTCATTGCTGCCCTCACCCAACTAACATACCCCAACTCTCATTTGTCAGCAAACCTTTGCATGGAAGTGCTAAATGTGGAACATTACACAGTTTGTATTTCACACTCCCAGAGCTCAATGAGATTGCCTAATTCTTTATTAGATCTTTTTACTTTTACCAATATGGAAATTCAGTCAGATAACTGAAAATTCAGGCTTCTTCATACCATAATGCATACAGTAACACTCATACTACAAAAGCACAGTAACAATGTATATGTTTCTTGCGGTGTGTTCCAATATTGCATCTAAGCACTCATTTACTTCTAAATGAATTAGATGCCCAATGTATTGTGCTCATTGTGTGTAAACAAACCCTTAGAAGAAATACATAAACTTTTAGTCATCTCCTTTGAAAAGGAAATGTGGGAGTTTATGTTTTAAATTTCTGTGTAGTTCAAATGCCAGAAGTTACTATAAGACAAAGCAAACCTGTGGTATTTCAGATGTAAAACCGGGGCCGTGCGGCAATCGCTGCCTGCATTGTGCAGGACCGCACGACACCCAGGACGTGTGTCCCGGGTGTCGTGCGGTGTAATGCAGGTGTGAATCTAGCCTGAAAGTGCTTTGCTGAAAAAGAAAAGCAGAGTGGGGCATTCCTTAGAACAGGCAGGATGGATATTTAACCTGCAGGCACGCTACACTCAGTGTGCTATTAGGCTGGATTCACACCTAGGCAACAGCAGTTTTGCACATTTTTTGCGCATAAATCAAATTGTGCATGAGCAGATTGTAGCTTATTGATGCTAATGAGCAAACGCACAAAAACAGAACAAACATGCGTTTTAAAGCATTTGCTATTGAGTCTATGGGGCCAAAAAGCTCAGATGTGAACAGGGCCATAGAAATTAATGGGATTTTTTGAGCTTTTTTAGGGTGGAAAAAGCACTACAACGCACTTAGTGTGAACCAGGCCTGATTTTACCACCACATACTTCATAGCTGTTGTCTATTTCACAGATTAGTAAAATCTTGTTAGCGTTCCTAACATTCTCGTAGAAGATTTGCTAACCCCTAGAGGGCACGATTTTAGGATGTGCGAGGCATCCACAGGCTACAGGAATGTCTTGATTTAGCAAATATTACGATAGATCCTGTTGGTGTCAGTTTCTGATATCAGGATGCTACCCTGCAGATTATGTGACTTCTCTGTTCTCCATACAACTGCAAGAGTCACTAACAGAGAAGCTGCATATTTATAGGTCAACTTAAACAAACCAAACCAAAACAAACCACTTACTGAAACACAGTTAATAGGTTTATCACATACGAAGGAATTAATTAAAAACGCATTTGCATGTTTAACACAATCAAAGGTGCAGGAGTAAATAGAAATGCAGTAAAGCACTCCTCTGTTACATGTTTTGTAAATGCCACCATTTATAAATACAATCTCTATTAATGACACTTCACATATTGGAATTTGCTGTGGAAATAAGATGCAAAGTACACTAGTGCATATCTACTGTATATAAATCAAGGTGCTTACAATACAAATTAGCATTTCATACATTTAGGAATATGACCTCAAGTCCTAAAAACGATACGCAATGTACAGAATGCAATGCAAATGCCATCACTATATTTTAATGGACATAGTATGTGCATCTTGGCTGATAATCTAGTCATTTCTAATCTTCACATAAAACAGAGTTCCCCAAAGCAGGTCATGGTTGACTCCCAAGGATTGATGAGACTATCAAAAAGGGGGATAAAATCACTGGGAGGTCAGTAGATGTTCAATAAATAGAGCTCCACACCAGTTCCTAGTCCTCAAGAAGATTTGGCCATCCATCCTTACAACCATCGCACGACTCTCGTTGTGCCATGGTTGCAAGGTAATTAAAATCTCGTAGATCTGCCCATCTTGGACAGGCAGATCGTACTTGCGATCATCGATGATTCCAACGCTGAGCGGGCAGTGTGCGCTTACGCACACTGGCCCGTTCGGCATTTGTCTTCCGAGCATGCCACTATCCCGCCGAAAATCGTACGATTTTCGGCAGGTTTTAAAGCGTGGTTGGAAGACAAAAGACAGTAGAAACGGTTGCATGCCTTCCATACACCTGCCGATTATCGTACGATCGCGGGATCACACGCAATTATCGTACGATAATCGGCATGTGTATGGGCACCTTTACCCAGAGTTGAAGGGCTCTTAATATGGGCGTGCATGCTCATATAATGACCAAATCCTGGAAGGGATAGGTGTGTGTAATTGCATGCAATCACATCCTCCTATAAGGAAGACCAGGCAGCTGCGCACTTACATGCAGCACCTGCCCCTTCCAGGATTGGGTCATTTTACGAGGGGGCATGCTGTGCGGACGTGCACACCCATCTGAATGAGCCCCAATAATCAGCTGTCAGTGAGGGCAGTCTTGAATTCCCTATTAGCGGTGTGTTGTTGCTGGCCTTATTTATGTTTTATGTTGTGTGTCTGACCTTCCACCCTCCCCCCCTCCCTCATCCAGGATACATATGTGTTCACTCCCGTAGTCTCTCACTTAAAACTATGTTGAAGAGCCAGTGAACACATCCATGGTAATTGTAGTAGTAGAGTAGTTCCAAATAACCAATTTCTATGCATTTACAAAAATACAACATTCTAGCAAGCATAATGGCAGCTGCTGATGCCAAGAGGAAGTGGTGACAGTATTCACAAAATTATTGTGCATAGTACTTTTAGAGAAGTGAAGGTTAAGCTATTTTCATACAAAACACAAATGTGTTGGGGGGAATTAATCTCAAACTTAATGAAGGGGCTGATGAACTGAAGAGTTTAGGGACACCTGGCATAGTTCACTACCAGGGGTGCGGAATTGCCATCACCCGATGCCCGGGACATGCAGTTCCAGGCGCCGGGCGGATAGTTTTTTTTCGTCTACATTTAGCGACCTGCTGCGAGCTAACAGAGCTAAATATAGATTGGGGCGCCACCGCTCATTTTGTACAAGTGATCTCAGATCACTTGTACAAAATGAGCAGCGTCTTGTGTCCCCCTCCCCACCCAGGTATTCTGCCAGCGGCCACTTTCAGAATACAAAGGACACAGGGTATTCCTCCATCCACACTCTTAAGACACAGCACAACAAAAAGGTAAAGCACCCACATTTTTTTTTTTTTTTTTTATAGCAATGCACCTTCCAACCATAACTTATGCATGTGTTGAATAGACATCTTATAAGTTGCCTTAGAGTTGAACCTTACCTTGAAAATCATACCACTGGAAAAAGTAGATCTGTCAGGGCATAGTGGGCCTGAGGGCTAGTTCACACCAGCCACAGCGCGTTGCGGACCGATTGGAGCTGGAACACACTGGATCGCATTGCTGCCAGCTCACTTTGTGTTGGGCCGGGAGAGGGTGTGGCGGTGCATTAAACTCAATGGCGCCACAGCCACGTCCTGTGGCCGCAGTGCGATCGGCCGCATGGCAACACGTGGCACATCAGGCTTTCACCATATGGCCAAAGAATTTAACCACTGCTCAGAGAAAAAGAAGAAGAACTAGGTGCTTCCTAGAGTTCACAAGCTGTTGGGAAGATGGGTACATTTCTGAATATCTGCCCTCTATGTCATCTATTTTATCCATCTATTATCCACTGATTACATTGTTTATATTCACTGAAAGAATTTCTATTATTTAAACACTAGGCAGACGGCTTCCTGATCTTCTCTCTCCGGTCATAGAGCCAAGCAGTAACAAAACGCTCCCTCTTTCAAAGGGACCACAATGATTGGTGTATTATGGTAATCACATGATTGGGACCATGATAATCAAGGGATACAAACTAAATTCATAGAAGTAATACTGCATAAAAGATAGTTTAGAAAAGTTACATACCTGAGCCTGGAAACTGCTGTCTGCAGAAAGTGAAGGACAGCACTCAGTTCTGACTCTCGGCATGCTGGGAGTAACATACTGAAACCGTCATTCAGTAGTTTATCTTCAGAAAGTTGCAAAAAACTGCTGGTTTCGAAAACTTCTTGCGCACCATCTACATAAGTAGAAAGCAGGGACCAATGTGTATGCTTCTGGCCATAGTCACCCTTACACACCAAAAACTCCTTTGCAGTTTCACGGAAACTATTGGAGAGTTTTTCTGCGAGAACACCAATGTCCATATTTTTTTCCACATAAATAAGAATAAAAGCAAAGTATCCTCTCCACACAAGGGTTTTCTGGGATGAATTGAGCATGCCGGGTATTAGAAAATGTAAGAGATCCAAAACCCTGCTAGTAACATCCTCAGTCTCTGCCAATGTGGCCAGTAAAAGAAACAGGGTGAAGAAGTTCTGCAAACCAACCTCGGAGAGCTCCTGCATCTTCTTTTGGTGAAATTTGGAATAGATTCTGTCAAGGGAAATGGAATTCAAATTAACATAATTTTATTAGGTAATCTATCAATAGATAATTATACAGGTGACATAAAAACAGGAATATGCTAAATTTAAAGATCCAATCTGCAGATTCTCATAGGATGTACATTGGATCCGTGTGTGTATAGGGGGTGGAGGGGGGCATGCCCAGGCAAGACTGCAGCGTTAATATGGACCAACATTGTATTTTGCACTCCATTCAGTTTAAAGTGGACCTTGCATTAACCACCTCCCGGCCAGCCATGGTAAATAATAAAACGGCTGGCCGGGAACTCCCTGGATCTGAGCGGGCATTTTAAAACGTCCGTCCAGCCGCACGCAAGCGGGAAAGTGCCAAAATGTAAAAACAGGCAGCGATGCCTGTTTACATACAAGCGATCCGCTGGCTCTGTATAACGTGCCAGTATGTGCGCCCCCTCCGCGGCACCCCACCCCCCACTCCTGCTGCCCGCGATCCGCTGTGTCCGGTGCGAGCCCCGGACCAGCATGGTGGCTCTCCTACAGGTACACGATCTCTCCTACAGGTACAGATCTCTGCTTCATCAGCTTATTTGTGGGTCCCTAGGTGGCATTATGGGTCTTGGAGACCCCTGATGTCTCCATAAAGAGGACCTGTCACATACTCTTGCTATCACATAGGGGGATTTCTTAGCCCCCTATGGGATAACAATAAAGTGAAAAAAAATAAAATAATAGGAAATATCTTTTTTGGGAAAGTCACACATGAAAAAGAATATATAAAAAAAAAAACACCACAAAATGTTTTAAAGTCCCCACCCATTCATACACGCATGCGTCGGGAGCGCACATGTGCAAAAACTATGATTGCGCCCATTACGCTGCACATGTTACATACCGCCGCGAACGTCACAGTGAGAGGAATAATTTTAGGGCCATCAATCACTGATGACACTAAACTGATGAGCGGTAAAAGCTTTTAAAGCATCGCCTATAGTAAATTTTGGGTATGGTCGTTTTTTGTGATTTCACGGGTGCACGCAATTTTAAGGCTCAACATGTTTGGTTTCTAGTTACCCGACGTGACCCTGTCTTTTATATTTTACCTAAAAATTGGGTAATAAAATGTTTTATAACTTTTTTCCCCAAAATTTTCAGCAATTTTCCCTTATTATAGTAAAAAAAATGAAAACCCCGCAGTGGTGATTAAATACCACCAAAAGAAAGCTTTATCTGTCCCCCCAAAAAATGGTATAAAATTCAGTTCAGTGTTGCATGATGGGAAAAATGTCAAAAGTACTGCAGCGCTGAATACTGAAAAATGGCCTGGCCAGGAAGTGGGTGTAAACACCTGGTCTTCAAAGTGGTTACAAATGTAAAGCCCGCTTATTATTACATCCCCCATTTTACAAATCATTGCATTAAAGCTGGGAAAAACAAACAAAAAAAAACACAACTATGGTGGGAATTTTTTTTTTTTTTAAAGTCTCCAGCGCAACTTCTCATTAAATTTTTGATCCTTAGCTTTCCCACCATGTCATAGGAGAATTGGGATGTGCATATATATTTTTTCCGTACAGCTTTAATATAGTGATTTGGAAAAGGGGGCCTTAACTGTCAACTTTAACGCATGCCCAGAGTACATGCTGTATGCCAATATCAGAAGATTATTGTAGGCCTAAACATTCAACTGGTGAGGGGGGAAATTCAAGATAACTATCCAAGTAGTTTATTTTCAAAAACAAGATACAAAACAGTACCCTAAGGCACATCTGAATTTCAGTCTCCTTACAATTCCACTATCTAGTAAACTCTTCAAATTAATAAAAAATGTGCTGGGGTGTGGACATTTTTTTAAAAACTACTTGTCCAAGGACTAAAGCGGGGGCCTGATCTACTTGTCCCTCATGAAAATCTACTTGTCCTGATACAAGAAAAAATTTACCATAACCGTATTTAGCAAGGCCAAGAAGAGCTTCTCGTTGGTCAGTGCCGTCAGATGACTGCGCTGACCAACGAGTGCTTGAATTTTTAGAGAGCGAAATTCAGATTACAATGGCACAGGTACAGATAATACACCCATACTGGCGGATGGGAAGGACCGTTCCCTGAAAGGTAAGTATTGGGGGGGATGGAGTCTGGACCAGATTTGTGCGGGTAATTCCATTTTTCCAAATTACTTGGGAAAGTGAATTTACCGTTTGGGGCAGGTGCAGACTTGGGCGAGGCCGTTTACGGTTGCCTCGTGGCCTCATTGATTTCAATGGGGTTACATCCGCGTGGTAATCTCTGAATGTTTTCAATCGCGATTATGTGCGATTGCACGGGCGTTATTGCGGCAGGATACTGCGCAATCTGCCTTGCGCGACTGGGGTGCCATTAGACAATAATGACACTGCCAGCGTGATCGGCGGTGGTGTGCACTTCTGTGACCGCCCGGCCATCCACATGGTTCTGTGCGCGGTTGCCGTGTGGTAACGGATCGCCCACTCCGCTCACACACACAAATTTTACTTTTTTTTTTGCTTTGCAATATTTTTTTATCATTTATTTATTTTTCAATTTATCGCCTTTGTTTTTTCTGTTTTTATGTATTTACATTTTTATTATTTTTTTCCAATTTTATGTTTAAATTTTTAAGTGTTATATATTTTATTTTTTACTTTTTTTCACTTGACTTTATTGCTATCATACAAGGGTAACAAGCCCTTGTGTGATAGCTTTTGGAGGGGACAGGTTCTCTTTATTGACCCCGTCACCTCCAAAACAGGAGTTCTAGCACAGCACTGTGCTTTTTCTCCTGTGACAGGAAGGCTGCATTCCTGTGTCACTACACACATGGAACAGAGTAGAGAACCGTGCTCTGGAACCTAATGTGCCGTAGTCACGGATTCCCCACAAGAGGGGGGGACCCCGAAGACTATGGCAAAAAGGAAGCCCACATGCAGAGTGACAGGCAGCTGGGAGCAGCACACTGCCGACCGCTGGAGATAGAGAGAGGGGAGGAGAGGGGTAGCGTGATTCAGGCAGGTTACGAGTGATTTTTGGACGGCTGTACAGCCATTTAAAAATCACTTGTACAAAACGGCTCCCGCATTACATTTAGCCGTGCTGCTTGCCCGCAGCCGGGCTAAATGTAGAAAAAAAAAAACTACTGCCTGTCCGGGGGGTTGGGCGATAGGAATTCCACACACACCCCCTGATGTGTATGCAAAGTTTAATTAAAGGACATATGTATTGTTTCCACACTCAGAGTTCACAATCTAAGCAATTTATTAATGCAAATTAAGTAATACTAGTATATTTAAATATATTTCAAGATGAAAGAACAAATAGAAAATAAAGGAACAATAAGCATCTTAGGCTATAAAAGATAGTGAAATAATTCAGTGGTCTAGCAAACTTTACAAGGCACAACAGCAGAATCTCAAAGTATGCTAGTAAACCGGATACTTGGAAAAGGTTTAGAACATACACACCTTCCCTTAATTTGCTTCCATGGATGTATCCCACTGCTTTGCTTAGCTTTTTTCATCAGGCGGGCTATGATCCGTAGGAAAATGAGGTAGCTGTTATCAGACTTGTACAGGTCAGGATGGTTTTCATCGGCACAGCAGCTTTTTACTTTTTCCAGCATAGAAAAGGGGGTCTTGCTGACACTCGCCAGAGATTTTAATCCAAGCCAGGAGATATTAAAAAGACTGTTCTAAAGCAGAAAAAATAAATAAACAATGCATGTTAGGATTTGCAGCAACTGAAGAAAAGCTCTTCCCACATTAAGGGGAGAAATAAAAGCAGTGGTAGACCCATTTTATCCTTTTGCGGTAATCAGTGGGTCCTTGCTTCCTGCTGTTTAGACCCCTCAGCAATGGAATATTCTGAACGTCTCAGTTAGGTTCAGCAGACTCAACATATCCAGTGGCAAGTATTTGGTATCTCTACAAACTCTACAACTATAGAGAGTTACTGATGGCATTTGTGGCAGGATTGTTAGGTCTTTTTCAGTACTAGTAGTGTTTTTAAAAAGGCATAACATGGGGAAATGTGCATGTATTGAAAAGCTGTGCCGATTTATTTTTGCCTAGTCATACATTTTAAGAAGCAGGATCATATCTATTTTTATCCAACAACATGATCCATTTGTAGAAAACAATTAAACTGTTTCCCTAGTTCTTGTTTAATCTTTAACCACCTCCGGGCCGGCCGTAGTAAAAAAACGGCCGGCCCGAGCTCTCTAGATCAAATTAAAAAAAAAAAAAAGTGTTTTTATATCCGTCATATTCTAGTCAACCTTTAAACCGTGCCTAACATGTTGACACAAAAAGGTGGGGCTTTAAAGTTTCACACCTTGTTATACCTGCTTTACAATGCATTTTTAATTACTCACCAGGTTTTTGCTGTAATAGTCCCATAGAATGGTAGCTGCAGTGAGGTTTGCTTCCCAAAGGTCACATAATGACAAGCAGCACTGCAAATACATGCGGAGCTGGTCCTCTAGGATTCCAGTCTTAATAAGAACACATAAGATATTTAGTACATTGTCCATTTCAGCAGCGTGTAGCATACACTTTGAAGAATCTACACACACAGCTTATGCAAAATAAATGTAAACAAATTAGTGCTCGACACCGTAAAGCTCCTTTCCACATTTGCTGGAGCATTTTTAAACAACATATGTCAGCAATGTACACTGAGTTACACATGAAGTAGGCATATGCAGTTGCTGTCTATGAACACAGAAACTTCAATTTTTGTTAGCTTTCCTCTTCATATCTTCAAGGAAATGGCCACCTCTGTGCTGTGCAAGCAATGTGTGTATATAACTAAGCTCTCTGTGAGCTCCCCCCCCCCATTCATTAGTATTCATTAGCGATCGTTGCACCCCCCCCCCCCCCCACAAAGTGTATTGTGTGCAAAGGCACAGCTGGTGTTTAGTAAACATATTACACAGAATCACAGGGAGGGGGGCAGCTGTTTACAGCATGCTTTAAAATCTGACCCCGGTGTCAGACTGAATTTCCTGTGGAGAAAAAGTTTGAATTTGTAGGATTCAAGCCCAATAACAAGTTTGTAAAAAATGAAGGCCTGCAAAATTGCTACAAACTAAGGTGGTTAAAACACAGGCATCCTTTTGTACTAATCAACCTCCAATGCGAGTTAGTGCATTAGAAACTTTCTGTTTAATACTAAAGGCCAAGCAGCAGGTAGATAGACTATGTATCTAAAGGAAAAAATACTTATGGTATTAATGAAAAAGGGACACTGGTAGAAAAATCAAATTTAAAAAAAAAGGGGGGAAAACGGCAAAGAGAGAGAAAATACAAGAGACAGTGAGAACAAAAACTTGAGTCCTGCTCACTGTGGTACTTAATTTAGGGGTCTTTTGGACTTCAGAAGTGCTGTGTGCATTTCAGGTAAATGACAAAGTATTGAAGCCATTGTTTAGCAACAGCCTGCCTATATTTAACAGCACACGGTTCCGTTAAGAGCCAAGAAAAAATGCTAACTGACTTTGGTTTCTAGAAATATTTCAGGGTATACAGCAGAAGAGAATATGATTATATATTTTTTATTTATTTATATTACATATACAGTATATACACGCATGCAAGAATTTTGGATTTGGGCACAGAATTATCTCGATTTCTAAACTGACTTTTAGGTGGCAGAATAAAAAGGGTTTAGAATCTCTTCCCTTTACATTACAGAATGAATCCTAAAAGGCCATGCAATCTAGAATTATTTCTATTCGAATGTTATAAAAATCTCAAATATTCACAAATTAGGAAACACTGCTTTACGGAAGATATGATGTTGGGTAAAGTCTGAAACTTGCTTGAAAAGGCGTTTCATGTTAACTCAAGGGAAGTATTAATCAACACAAGTAAACCCTCACAAGTACAAAAGTATTATGGTGCCATACAGATTGAGAAATACCTTACCTGAACATTAATTGATTTTTTTAGAAGTTCTTCCACGAATTTCCAATTTGAAGATATTTGAATCTGTTACAAAATGGATAAAAATATGAAGACGTTAGGTAAAGACACAATTCTACTTATACAATGAGAAATGGCATACTCCCTTTTATTCAGTATGTTAAAAACAGAAAGCTAACTTATAGATAATATGTATGTAACACAGAGAGACTTACCTGCTTATAAGTAAAAGCCATAAAAACTGTATGCTGATCTGATGTACAAAACTGACCTATGCCAATATTATAACACTCATAGTAAATAAACTTACGTGTTCATCTAGGTTCCCATTCCGATCGAGCTGATACAGTGGTGAAAGGTGTGCAACAATCCACCAACAAAGGCCCAAGGTATCTTTACATTTTACTACATTGCAAATGTCATGTACTTCACTACCACCAGAACCCTGAAGTAACTTCCTCAACAAAATACTGAGCAAACCCCAGAAGTTCTGAAATACAAAAAAGACATCAAAGTCAAAAACATTAAAATTTGCCCATTTCCAAAAAATATACTCAAAAATAAAAGTTTCCATTCTACACTGTTTTTATTGCTTGCAGAATTGACCAGCCTAACCCTGCCTGTATAGTTCCTGCACTCCTTGGTCAGGACTCTTGATCTGCACCTGTTCCACTTAGACGCTATAGCATAGAAGCACCGAAGACATAGAATAGACATCACATCGAAATAACTAGAATTTCAGAATATTGGAAATAAAGGCCTTCAAATGTTTGTATGTTCTCTTCTTTGAAGAAAAAAAAAAAAACACAGGAAAATCGTTAACTCTTACCTCCGATGAAGAGGCTTTGCTCCTATGGTCAACAAGTTGGATAACTAAAACCCACATCTCTTTGATGCACATACAAGGATAAAATTGACCACTAAAGGCTTCTGATGGGCGTACCTGATTCAAAATCAGCAGAGAAGCAATCTTATATTAGTAACATTTCTAACATACGGAAACATTTTAATAAATAACAGTACAGTGCGGCACAGATTATAAAAGAATAGAGTACCTTGAAATACTTGGCTGCCGCGAGGGCAATAAGACCACAAATTAAATTTTCACAATGCTCTTCAAACAAGCTCATATTTGTCAAATTTTTCCCAAAAAGATTTATAAACTGATGGGCATACACAATCTGACCTAGAGGAAGAAAAATACCCACATATTAGACACACAAGTAATGAGAACAAATTGTGTTGCCAACATCACGCACAATGCAAGAGCAGTGGTGGCAAGGGCCGTCTGGGGTCTGAGAGAAAACATATGGAATGGTGGCTGCCATTCACAGGACTATGAAATACGCAAGTATTAGGCAATAAGATTATAAGTAACTATTATTAAGTCATATATTAATAATCAATGTTAATTAAAAGAAATAAGATTATTAATTATAAGCAATAAGATAAGTCTATAAGTAGGCAAGTATTAGGCCCCTTTCAGACTGGCTGTCTTTTTCAGGCAGATCAGATGCCCAACCTTTGTCAATGGGGAACCAGATCTAAACAGACATGCGTCCATTCGCATCTGGTTACCCTGACTCCACCCATAATTCTGTTTTGGTAGACCTAAAAGGTGACGGATTGGAGTTAATCTGATAAAATATGCATAAAACCGAAAACTTAATAAAAGTAAAAGGTCAGTCACCTGGTACATATGAGGATTTAACCAACGCCAATGCAATAGGAAAGAGAAAAACCAAAAACGGAACAATTAATAGTAAAAGATCTTCAAACTAATATATATTAAAAGAAAAAGAAAATACCTTGCATCTTTTCTCCTAAAATCTGTAGGATTTCTAAAATGGACCAATGAATATCCAAGTAAAGATGCAGCAGATGCCATGAAGCAGGAAAGACCTAGCAAATATGAAAATAAATCACATTAAATCAGAATTATTCAGAGAACAGATTGAACTCACCAAATTATGGTTTCTAAGGAAGAAGTAATTCCCTGAATGCTGCTAAATGTCAGTAAAGCTGGTTCTTCAATGTTTATTACTGCCGTAGAACAGGGGCCATGCGGTCCCTGCAAGTACCTTTGGTAATTCTCTAAATCAATTTTTGTATTCCCAGAGAGCCTCTGGATTCCAGGCACACACTATATATAGGGCCACAACTTATTACAGACTTGGAGCTAGGCTCCATTTAACAGTCCAATGTCATAGACCTATACTCAACCTAATAGACTGTGGGATTGGGCTTGGGCATTGGACCTTTACCCACTTTCACTAAAAATAACATCAGTGTGCAGCTCTGCATGCTCACATGAAATCATCTTATATTCATCAGCAAGAAAACATATTTTGCTTTTACTGACAATCATTGTTTTTCCACTTTTTCCACTGGTCCTCTTAGGCATTAGTGATGTAGCCCATGCCTAAGAGATGCATCCTGGGAAGGTTACATCAGCAGTGCATTGCTGGGGCATCTCATCTGTAAACTGCAATATCTCAGGGAAAGATTTCCATACATTCCTCCTGCTTACATCATTACCCTTTTGCTGTAGCAGAACACAGGCCTGAGATCTTATGCACACATCCTCTGTGAGCATTCAGTTGCAGTCTGCCTAGGAACGCCTACTACTGCAGACTGACATTCACTTACTACACCTATTTAATGTTTGTATAACTACTCCCAAGAGCCAAACCACTGTTCGAATCATGGCAGAGGGCCCATGAGAGCAATATTGAGGCAGGGTGATGTTATGTTTTATGAAGCTGTGTAAAGAATCCTGTCACCCCCTCCCTCCAGCCATGATCTGCTTTCATTGCATAGAGACCCAGAGATGAGGTCACTGGGTCTCAAATAAGGTATGCAATGAAAACAGAAAGGTTTTGATTAAAAATGTTATTTGCGTGTTGATGAGGGAAGAGCGGAATTAGTGGGTGGGCAGCATATTCACACATTAAACTTCAGCTTTTTTTTTTTAGTGTGAGCAATGTTTAAAACTGTAGTCCTCCATCAACGTGAACAACAACATGCATCTCAAAAGGCTGCTAGTGCAAGATGGAAAGAGAAGAAAAACCGGTTGTAGGGTACAGGGCCCTAGCTGCCTTAAAAAAAACAAAAAAAACAAAAATTTGCATTAAATTGCAACCACCATCATGCCAAAACACTAAACAAACCTTGCTCTGAGGGTGAATGGTGAAGGCTCCAAGAATGGTGCTTGGAAGTTCCCATAGAGGTCCAATATGCAGGCCCAAACAGTGCAGCTCTTCAATGAGCTTGGAGGGAAACTGAGCACCCATTTCTTCAAAAGGATGTGCCAAAATATCATCTTGCTGCTTTGGGGAATCTAAAAATCTACATAAACACATCAAAGAATAATGTTCACGACTTTTGAATTCCAGTTATTGCATCTTTAGCATTTTCAAAACGAATGACATACAGTATACTGCCATGGTTAGATGCCTCAATATTATGGCCTGTGTTCTGAAGGTGTTGCAGTGCTGATATTTTAAGAGACAACACTGGCTTTTTAATTTACTGGAAATTGAGTTTGATTTAGGGGATGGGTCTTCACCTTAATGTTAGGGAGAACTCATGCCATTTTTTCCCCCTGTTTAACTGGACACTGTTGAACTCAGGACAGACTGTTGAAGAATTGAGAACTGCCAAATGACATTCATGTAATCCTAACAATATCTTTGGTTTGTTTGTCTCTGTTAACAATAGTGAGCTGCAGAAGGTAAGAGAGTGTCAGTAGGTGCTTCAAGTCCAACAAAGCTTCCAGCTGCGACTGAGCTAATACAAGTTTTAAATGGAAGAGAATGCAGAGACAAACAGCGATCTCAGAGAGGCAAGACTGCACAGGTCAATAGTGAAGATTCCGATTTTTACAGATGCCCATTTGTAAATGGATCACCTTAAAAGGCACCTGCTATAGTTTCAGTGGCACGTGTTTTTTCCTTCCATCATTAAACATATTCTGTTTACTAATCCCTGCTTTTTGATACTCCCTTGTTCCCGCTTTATTATTCTCTTAACTTGTACATTTTTGGCATGAAATATATAAACCTCAGGCCCCTTTTTCTTAAGACACAGGTAGGGGAGGCTACAGGTGCCCAGGTGATCTGAGCTGGGAATACCATTCCTCTTTTCCATGTAACATACAAAACAGCTATTATATCTGCTTGCCTTACTTCATGCTTGCTGAGATGCACAAGATTTACACCTTTCTTTGTATTGTATATGATGCAAGACATCAGGGCACAGCAAGAGATGCTGCGTGTGGGAGGAAAATATAATAAAGAAACTTTACACCTCCCAGCATTGAAGAAAACAGCATATATTTAACCAGTTCTCTCCCCTGTATATCCCTTTATGGACCAGAATCAATTTTACATTTCAGTTATGGGTCCACTGATTCTGCAAGAACTTTGCATTACGTAATAAAAAGTAATACATATATGTTTGGTACAAACAAGGCTTTCGCTTTTAATATTGTCTTGCAAAACTTATTTTATTTTGTATGCAACCTATAGACAAAGTGTAAAGTTTGGCCATTAACAAGTGATCCTGCAGCTAAAAAAAAAAAATGCATTTTATTTTATAATTTGTCCCATTTTTTTTTATAACACTAAAATTATGTTTCTTTTACAAAAGCATGACAAGTTATTTACAAATAAAGGCATATTTTATTTTTAAATGTGCTTATTTTGAAATATATTGCTAAAAAAAATTAAAAAAAATGAAAAGCAGCAACATAGCAGGTAATGGGAGAATCGGTTAATTATAGCCTTGAAAGTGAGTCTGTACTGCAGCGATGCAAGGTTCAAGGGTTGTAGTAATTAATAAATCTTACCAAGTATACTGATTTAGGGTTAGTTCACACCAGAAACTGCATCACAACTGCGTGCGTCTGCGCAGTTGCATTGAGATCTGTTTTGACGCGTTTGTGATGCGGTTTTTTCCCCTGCATGTCCCTGGATGATGCCACAATCAATTCTGTTTTGTTTTTTTGTATGCATTCCGTTGCGTTTTGATGCTTTTAGTGCAGTTAGATGCAGGTAAAATAGGCAGTACTTTTTCTGACTGCAGTTGAACTGACCGCAATGGTGTGAATTAGGCACAAGAAAGCCCATAGGAAAGCATTGGGATGTATTTTGACTGCAGCAGTTAAAATAAACGGACTGCATCACAACTGCATATGGTGTGACCAGGCCCGCAAAGTTACAAAACAAAAACACAGAGTACACTAACCTGTATATAAAAATCTTCACATAATGCAAAAATTTCAGACATTGACTTCGGATTTCGTCAGCTTCATAGTGCACATTATTTACTTGCCCTAAGAAGATTTATCCCATAGATATAAAATCAAAGAATTATTACAGTGAAGTGCTACCCCACATATCTGCAGAAAGGTTCATGCTATGGATGTACATATGTATATAGAGCACAACCAACCATTATTCTGTGCACTCCATACTAATCTTTTTCTTTCACAAACGCACTTCCTTGGAATTTTCTCATCTGCATGCATGTTATGCTAAATTGCAACTTCAATTCTTCTTATGCCTTAAAAGTGCATGTCTACGTAAACATTTGTACAAGATAAAAATTACACACACACAAACTCAGAACAGCTTCTATCTTTTCTCACTGTATTATATTGTACAAACTCACTAATGTGCTTACTCTCATACACCCTTTGTGCTGTAAAGATAACGTTCTGCCATACCCCTTAACTCTTGCAGTGGGGCTACCACCACACTGGGAGGGTTAACTGCTCATAAAAAAAAAAAAAAAAGGAAATATATACTCATCCACAGCTCCGAGCCGGCTTCTTCTTAAGGTGCCCATATACACCGCACGATTCTCGTACGAGAATCGTGCAGTGTATGGAAGGCGTGCAACCGTTTCTACTGTACGGTTTTTTTAAGTACTTTACAACTCTCGCAAGACAAAAGTCTTGCGAGGGTTGTAAAGTGTATAGCCACCTTTAGACTGGTAGCTGGAATGTCTCTCCCTCTCTTCTGCAGCAGTCTAGGGTTCCGTAGATCATCACGTCTATAAACAGTGTATAGAAGTGAGGATGCTGAGGAATATTCCAATGTGCCCCAGAGGAGAAGACATGCTGGAGAAAGCACCATGATATCTGGGCAGCTCAGAGCTTCAGGTGAGTATAACTGTGTTATGTTAACAGCTAGACACAAATGAACACTTAACTCTTGCAGTGCATGGGGTAGGCCCACTGCAAGGGTTAATGAAGAAATTCCTGGAGTTCTGCTTTAACATCCATCTAAAGCCAAGATCCCCCCCATTTTTAGAGGAGGCTGGAAATGGCAGCCCACATACTGCTATCATTGCAGAGGGTGCAGGTTACAGTGTTGTCATCTTTGCTTCACTGCTTAGTAGCTCACTGACCCAAAACAAATGAGCAGGACCGGAGATCAGACTTTTTAAATACCGCTGACTACGTGTGTATTACAAGTCAGTGACTCACAAGGTAGTGAAGAAAGATTAAGGATAACAGCATTGAGGAATATACTTTTAAAAAAGAGCAATGAGCAAATTTACTATATAACCATTACATGAAAGTTTATACAATCAGGAGGAACAGCATTCATCACATAATTCAGTTCATTTCACAGTCGAATTTCAGTCATATTTGCACGCTGAAAAGAGTATCTATGGTCAAAAACTAAAAAACAAATATTGTTTGTAGAGATGCACCGAAAATACATTTTTAGGCCAAAACTGAAAAAAAAAACCATCGTCAGGCCGAAACCAAAAATGACTCCCCCATCTTTTTAATTTTTTTTTTTTACTTTAGTGCCAGGGACTTTGGGGGAATATCAGGGGTCTAAATAAAACACAGATATTTATCTTTTGAAACAAAATTTTAAAAAAGTTGAGCACACAGAGTCCCAAACCTCTTTTTCTGCAGCCCCTGTTATGAATGAACAGGAAGCCTCTATACTGAGTGTTCCTGTCCATTCATAAACTGTAGATATAGCATCAGTTACTATGTCCACAATCATGAATGAAAAGGAAGTGATGTAGCACCTGTTTATTCATAACTGGGGACACAGCATACTATGTCCTTCGTTATTAACAACTACTCAGCAATCAGCTGATAGCTAAATGTTTATAACCCGCTCTCCATCTTGACTTGCTGTCACAGGAGGCTGAGCGGGGACAGTGAGGGAGGAGAGCCCAGCCTCCTGACAGCTCACTGCTCAGCATCAAAAAACTCTCTGCCTGTCACAGGAGCCAAGCAGGGCGGTGCAGTGCAGGAGGAGAGCTCGGCCACCAGCCCCACTTGGCATCCTGAGCTATCTCCTCCCCGCTTGTCCTCCTGAAACCTTCCCCCCTCCCTGCTGGGCACCGGTCTTTATGTCCCCTCAGAATTCCTGCTGCCTCTGCCGACACAGGCAGGTGAGAGCAGCGGAGTTTGGACGGGACACAGACTGGTGCCCAGCAGGGAGGGGAGAAGTTTTTAGGCGCATTTTTGCCCATTGTGACACTTTCTGCATTTTCCCCAAAGTACCATTTTCGGCGCCTGGAATTTCGGTGCATCCCTAATTGTAAGTTTTTCTATATTGAATTTTCGTCAGCACTCACTACATAAAAAGGGATTTTTAAAGTAAGCTTTGGTTGCATTATCAAAAACCACAGTATGTATTCCTATTACAATGCTGATGTTATAACAAGACTGAGTGTAGAAATCCCTTTAAGAATAAAGACTTACCAAAGTCAAAGGAGAGTGGTTGACTTAAACTTTCAAGAGCATTTATTTTTTGCCTAATCAAAAATAAGAATGAACAAATGTAAGAAAAACATAGAACTGTACAAAGCCTAAGAGGGAACTTTTCCAACACTTTAGATAGACTTTAAATAATGTCCCCTTGTGATAACATGGATGACCATGCATCCAAACAAATGCATGCACTACTTTTATTAAGCAGCTACACAAACATAGTGCTTATGCTATGGTCAACAATCTTATTGCTGCTCTTTACAGGAGGTACAAAAACATTAGCTCTTGTTGAGACCCTGTCACTTAATAAACAGTTTGAGCAAAGCACAAACCTGGAAAGCAGAGTAAGTACTAGCCTCTCCCCCTGGCCTAGCTCCAAATCAATGCTCTGTTGCAAAGAACTGTTCCCTCGAAGTCCGTGGTGAAAATTATCTCCATGGTTCCCCAAAGCTCTCCTTGGTTCCTCTTGGTGACCTCCATGTCAAAGTAGTAGAAAGTAATGACAAGGAGGTCAGCAGGAGGAACCATTTGTGGGGGAGTGGGGGAAAATGATATCCATGGTTCCCCAAAGCTCTCCTTGGTTCCTCTTGGTGACCTCCATGTCAAAGTAGTAGAAAGTAATGACAAGGAGGTCAGCAGGAGGAACCATTTGTGGAGTGTGTGGGACTGCAGTGATCATCACTTCTGGAATGCTAGTTTCTCAGCAGACCAGTTAGTAGAGAAGAGTTGACCGGTGCAGGCAGCAGGACAGGCAAGTACTCACTCTCTCCTATAAAAGGTATGCCCTGTGCTGAAGGTATTCTATTACATGACAGTGTCTGAACAGTGGTAGTCAACTTAGGAAATATAGGGGGCCTTAAGTGCAACCCCCAACCATGTCCACAGGGTCCCACAACAGCTCAATTTTCACAAATTTACCATGATTACTACAATGAAACACAATCAAGAAAACGGTTTGTGTATAATGAATGGACGGCTAGTGCATCCTAAGGTGCTTAAAATTGCACAACCCTTTTTTTCTAACGCAGTGCCAGTCCTCCATTGTGCTCTGCATAATGATAAATGCTTGGATAGTGCTATTACCAATCAGGAGCCATCATCACGCAAAGCACATCCCTGAATTGAGAAATATGCTTTGTTAAATGGCATTGCTCCAGCCAGCAAGAGAGGAGAGTTCATGTGTGACAAGAAAGCAAACGTCACACACTGTCACACAGCACATGCAGATTCCCCAAATACTGCACAGATCCGGCCACAGCGCGTCCACTCACTTGTCCTGTTAAAGTGACAGTCGGCATCGGTCAACCCTCCACACTGTGATGCCCAATGCAAAATCCAGTCCTGGTCACTTCCTGTGTAAATGCAAGGCGGAAGCATTGTGTAACCCTGTATATACACTGCCTGCTGCCAGCATTCCTATGGAGCGCTCAGTAGCTGGATCGCTCAGCTCCATGGCTTACTGCTAGACTGCATAAGTCACTGACAGCCATCATTGCAAAAGAGCCAGCTGTACCCACCCCCTCACCCTTTTGTTCCTCCAGTCAGTGCTGGAGGATAGGAGGGGGGATCCCTGCGGGGAGCCGTGATTGATAGTCACCATTCTCTGCAGGGAAATAATCGGAAAGTGAGCAAGCAACGTTATGTGTCCGCTCACTTCCCGATCTATAGAGTCGCCGTGTGACAATTTCAATGTCACACGTCCGCTCTAACTAGGAGGATGAGTGTAAACCACTCACCTCATAGTTCTCCTTTAATGAGCAGATTGCGGCACTTTGGTGTGAATGGACAGACACACATTTTACGCGTATAAAAGCAGCACGTTTTTGAGCATTTGCATTGAAGTCTATGGAGCCAAGAAGCGCAGAATCTGCTAAAAAGCTTGTGTACTTTCATCACGCAACGGGAATTTTGTTACAAGTGACATGACCCCCAATGTGAACATGGCCATAGAAAGGAATGGAAATTTTTTTTTACAGAAAAAGCGCTACAAAAACGCTCAGTGTGAATGAGGGCTTAGACCAGATTACATGGTAAGCAACACAGCAGGCCACTTGTTGGGCACTAGTGATTTAAACATTAATGTTAGTTCCTGTTTAAGTCAAACCTCCGTAGAAGATTAGAGTGCAGCAGCCTAACCTGAAAGCTACAAACTTAGGTTGCCCATACACTGTATGGATCTCGGCCTGTTTTTGAGGAACTGGCTGAAATTCACAAAGTTGTGCCGCTGTCAGCATCCTTTTGGTTTGAAAATCTTTGTACAATCAGAGCCAGCAGCCAATGAGCCGCCAGCTCTATTCGGGTATAAAATGCAAACAAATGTAAACAAGTTAATCTGCGCTTCTGGAGGGGGGTGATAATAAAGGAATAAATTAATTAAAATGAAATATGTGAATAAATTGTGAAAGAATAATTAAAACCCGAAGAAATGCAAACAGCTGTATTCCTCAATCGACATGCTGATAGTGTTGATGGAGGAATCGGCTCTATTTTTTTCCCTTCAGCCCGCAGGTTGAAAGAGAAAAATAGAGCAGTGTATGGCCGGCCTTTCAAATTCAATAAAGCATAGTGTCGCTACAGATCGGGTGGCTTGCCCGCCACGGTCAGGTGCTTGTACAGCTCGTTACTGGTAACACTGTTGCAGAAAAACTGGATAGCGGCACACTGGCATATCCATAGTCCTAAGAACCTGTGTACGTGAAACATGCTAGAAGTTTCTGTTCATCTCTTGTGCTATTCATTTTGTGGATCAATAAAAAATACACTTTTGGATCATGTCAGTGTGCTGTCAATCACTTTTTCTGCAAAGCCACAAACTTACTAGTTAAAGGCAAACTCCTTCACAATAAGAGGTGATACGTGCACATTTGATATATGCATTGATCAGCTTAACTAATTTTAATTTTTGCAAACCAAACCTTACCTGAGCAATCCAAACAGAAGATCTGTTGACTCCACTAGAGCAGTTTCAGTTACCCATTGGAAGCCAAAGATCTCTACTGTGTCAGTTTCATAATCAGTTGGAGAAGGATCAAGCTTCAGCAAAAGCCTGCAAGAAGAATCAGTCAACAATAAAGATGTATACATCCACCTCTCATCTACAAAACATTACAAGCTTCTTCAGACAATTCAAGTCCTACTTACACAGCCAGCATAATGGGAGTGTGTGCCGTTTTCATAAAGTAAAAACAATTTAAAAGCAAAAAACATGAGAATACAGATAAAGTAGAAACTTTGTAGCAGAGATAAAAGTAAACACCATTTGTATGTCTAAAATAGTTACACTAAAACGAACCCTTGGTATAACAGTTTTTTTTAAGTGTATATAAAGCCAATCCATTTTTTTTTTCCAGTGTAAGGGCTTGTTGACACCAAATCCGGACCAGATCTGCATGAGTTTCTGCACGTGCAGTGGGTTTTGCCGCGTTCCGGACCCTTAAAACAAATTATAATTTGTTTAGCCTAAAATGGGCTTTCAGTGCGTTTGCATGCATTTCTGACACGTTTGCATGCGTTTTGGTGCGTACCAGAGCAGAAAGAATAGGGCATGCTGCAGTGGTGTGAACTAGAGCCCATAATACCATTGGATGCATTTTTGATGCGTTCTACAACTGCTCTGCATCTGGTCCGCACTTGGTGTGACCTAGTTCTAAGAGGGTTAGACACTCGGCCAACATTTTTTTCATCGCTGTGTGCATCCCCACTGGGTAGATTCATGCTCCTATTTGTCCTGCTGACACTGCCCTGTTCAGAAGAAATCTTCATGTGACGTCTGCAGGGCAACTAATGCTTCTGGGATATTGTATTCTCATGTCCCCTGCAGCACTCAGGGATTCCTCCTGCCGACCACCAGGAATCGTTACAGCGTCCTACATTGCATGGAGGTCGGCAGGAGGAACCACTGAGCACTAAAGGGACACAAGAGAATACGACACTCCCTGAAGTGCTGGTTGCCCTGTCAACTTTACATGAAGATGTCTCATTATCAGGGCCATGTCCTGGTGGTGCAAGACAGCTAAGGCTCCTTGGGCTTTCTACATTAAAAGGAGAATTATGAGACGAGTGATTTTCACTCAGCCTCATAATCTGAGTCGACCTGTGACAATGAAACTGTCACAGGTGGGCTCAGTAGATCGGGAAGTGAGCGAACACATACCGGCGCTCGCTCACTTCTCTATCCCGTCACTGCAGAGAGCCGTGACAGGATTCTCCCCTCCCCTGTCCAATCCTCCAGCGCTGATTGGTGGAACGGACGGGGGAGGGTACAGCTGGTTCTGCCTCTAGATAGGCAGAGCCAGCTGTCACTGACGCAGCTGGGCGCATCCAGACATAATTGCTGGGATCCGTTTCAGCTGCGGCATCTCAGTATACCGCGAGCTACAGCTCGCGGTATACTGAGCTTTGGGTAACGGGAGGACACTAGTTTGTGTCCTCCCGTTACCCTTCAGAGAACTATGGGGAAAAGCCCTAACCCCATAGTTCTCCTTTAAGAGCATCACTTTAATCTAAAAATTGAACCTTTTTGGAATTCTTTTATGGGTCACAGAAGTCGATTTTTGTGACCAAAAGTAAGCATCTATTGGCGCTATATCTAACAACACAGTGCCATGCTGCAGCATGGTTCAGATTGGAGGGGGGGTAATTCCATTCATTGTTACAGTCCTGCTATATCAACACAGCAGCCAGAATGGACAGATCTGGCAGCACGTCATCAGTGGGCTCCCAATGACATCAAAAAGGAAGATGGCGGCAGGGGATCTGGTGTGCAGCAGATTAGCAGATCACAGCATAGTAACACTGGAGTCAATGCGCAGGAGTATGTTATTTGAGGACAACCCAGCAATGGGGGAATGCTTGAAAATTGGAACAGTTTTCTCATGGTAACCAATCAGTGGCGCCCTTCAATTAAGCTTTGAAAATGAAAGAGAAGAGCTGATTGGTTGCCAGGGGCAACTGCTACGGATTCTGTCTGCTCCAGGTTTTTATTAATTCCCTCCAATGTAAGAGGGGGAAGAAAAAGTGGGGGAGTGAAGCACCTCTTCATAGTACATACGTTATTTGTATCGGAGCACAGACACGTCCCCATGTGACCCGTGTCTCACCTTCTCAGAGAGCCGCTGGTGAGATAGGAATCAAAGGGAAAGCTTTTCCCGCCATCTCGGGCACTGTCCTGGGCACACGAGAAGCGCAGTGGTTTGCAGTGTTCGCTGCCCCCCGGCTCCGGGTTCTCGGAGAAGTACGGTGAGAATGGAGGCGTGAGGGACCCGGCCAACTCTTCACTCATATTGACCGCTCTCCATACACCTCTCTCCCGGGACAATCCTTCATTCACAGCCTCCTAGTCCCCCCACCCTCACTCAGCGTCACACAAGCTGCAGCCAATCAGGAGTCGCGTCCCTGACACTAGCGAGCTTACTGATTGGAGCAGAATGCCGTCCTGCAAAAGCGGGAAATATCAGTGTATCTGTACCGTATGTTCGCTGGCACAGAAGCTGCGTGTCCAATCAGCGTTGTGCAAGAAAAAAGGGGGCGGACACCCAGCCAGAGGGACAGCTGGGAGCCTGGGACCCTATTACATGGGTTTCCCTAGAAGACACGTGATGTGCAGAGCCTCGAGGCGTGTGTGCTCACTCCCTGTGTATTCTTGTTTAACCACTTCAAGACCAGGTGTTTAGACCCCCTTCCTGACCAGGCCATTTTTCAGTATTCAGCGCTGCGATACTTAACTACTGTTTTGGTGTCGGGACAAGAAATTTGTTTAAAGACGAAGTATTGGGAAAAAATGTGTTAACCTTTGCAGTGGGACTACCCCTGCACTGCAAGGGTTAAGTTTTTGTTTAGGTTCAAAAATAAATTTATACTCACCAGAAGTCCTGAGCTGGCCAGCTGTCACAGTGCTGCACCTCCACCATCAGGACAAGTTCTTCCCCCAAGTGTATACCCTCTCCAGAGCGCCTCTCACCTTATGGAAGGACCTAACATGGTCGAGACACACCAATCCCCTTCAGCTTGTGAGGGATAGCACCCTTATTCAGAATAGCTCTTTATTCAATTGTCCAAAAGATACAAATTGTACAAAACATAGTGCACACTGAGATGCTAAAATTTAGATTTTATTAAAAAAAACTACTTGCATAAAATAATTGTAGATGGCATAAAACACAACATAAAGGCGGACCTGCTGCATATTGCTTTTATGTTGTGTACTATGCAATCTACAATCATAGCTCTTGGTGAATCCAAAGGAATGAAACAATCAGCTTGTAATTGTAATAACTACGATGACCAGTTTAAGAATGCCACGTACTTGCCCCAACCTGACACTGAAGGTGCTTGGCAATTGTCCCCTAAGCCTCAATCTCGCAAATCGCCCCTGAAGGCAAACCACATTCCTTTTTTTTCCCAGGCTTCAAATTCCAGACTGAAGTCTGGATACCAGTTTAATTGCAAACCCTGGACTCCCTAATCTTCCAAACATACAAACAAGTCCTCCTTACAATGAGGGGACACTCACATTTCCCAAAGTGGGGGACGTCTATTAACCTTTGTAGATGCATTTTAGATTTCTGGGCGACAGAAGTGGTTTCCAGGGGCTAAAAGCTAGGGTTTCGATCTCTACCTCCACCCCACATCATTTTGTCAAATCTGCCAACTTCCCTGCAAAGACTAACAGATCCCTGTGCTGCATTGGCAGACCTTAAAGGAGAACTATGGGGTTAGGGCTTTTCCCCATAGTTCTCCTTAGGGTAACGGGAGGACACAAACTAGCGTCCTCCCGTCACCCAAAGCTCAGCATACCGCGAGCTGCAGCTCGCGATATACTGAGACGCTGAAGCGGATCCCGACAATTATGTCTGGATTCGCCCAGCTGCGTGAGTGACAGCTGGCTCTGCCTATCTAGAGGCAGAGCCAGCTGTACCCGCCCCTTCCCCGTCCGTTCCCCCAGTCAGCGCTGGAGGATCGGAGGGGGGAATCCAGCCTCTCCCCTGTCACGGCAGAGAGCCGTGACAGGATCGAGAAGTGAGCGAACGCCGGTATGTGTTCACTCACTTCCCGGTCTACTGAGCCGACCTGTGACAGTCTCATTGTCACAGGTCGGCTAGAACTATGAGGTGAGTGAAAAGCACTCACCTCATAGTTCTCCTTTAAAGAGGTTATTGCTGTTGTATTTCAAGTGGAAATGTTTTTACTTGAACCTGTTCACTGTCCCCAAATCAAAAGGGGGCACCAGCCCCGTTCTGGATCTCAAAGCACTGTCTTTCTTTGAGTGAAGAAATTTCAAATGCATTTCAAAAGGTCAGTCATAGCCCCTCTTCACACAGGGGACTTTTTGGCCTCTGTGGACATCAAGGACGCTTACTTGCATGTCTCCATCTTCCCAGCACATCAACCCTATCAACAACTGGCTTTGAGAATCATTGAGGGGCAAATCTCAGTTCTACTATTAAGGGACAATCTAGACCCGTGATTCTCAACTGGTACGTCGCGACCCAAAAGTGGGTTGCAACCCTGTGTTCAGTGGGTCGCTTTGTGCCTTTCCACTGCAGTAGTTGAGAGGCTCCCCAGCCTCCCCCTAGCACAACAGTGTCAGTTCTCGTGCCAAGCAACCATTAAAAATATGCTGCCCTGCACCGAGTGTCAGCTTGGGGTGGGCTGGAGGTATGGCCGTGAGGGAGCTCCATCCATATGTGCATTGCTTATAGCTCCCTAGCGTGCCCTATAGAGGTGCCTGGACCATAGTAACATCACATTCTGGCTCTTGGCACCTCTACAGGGCATGCAAGGGAGCTGTACAAGCAATGCAGATATGGATGGAGCTCCATTACAGCACAGCAGCCAACACTGGGCCCCAGGCTGAGAATCCAATCCAGTTCTCGTAAGTAGAGAGTGGGTGGATCTGGAAAAAAAAGAAAAACAAATAAAAAATTATCTTGGAGTGTGTGTGTGAGATTGTGTCTGTGATTGTGCTTGTTTGTCATTGTTTTTGAGGGCCCATTTGCAGTAGTACTGTAAACTAATTGCTCAGTCCTGTGTGATTAACGCACTGTACCACGCAATCGAACCTACTGTGTGGTCTAGTGCGGGAGGTGCATTGCATTGCCATTCACTTGAATGGCACCCCAAATGCACCTAAAACCCACAGTTCAATCTCCCGCACTGGAATGCACGGTACCACAATGCCATGCAGTCCAGCGCAGTGCAACTTGGGTTGCAACTTAATGACCAAGGACAAATGTGGTTCCTAAGGTTACACAGGTTGAGAACCACTGGTCTAGACCAGGGGTCAGCACCCTTAAACACTCAAAGAGCCATTTGGACCCGTTTCCCACAGAAAAGAAAACACCGGGAGCCACAAAACCCTTTTGACATCTAAAATGATGATAACACGTCATATATCGTTTTTTACTGGGCGGGATTACATTGAAATTTGTGACCACGTCACAGGTCACACATTCCAACCTAGTCACAAACTTTAATAGAACAACGGCCATGTCTAATCATTTAATCAGAGAAATAGATTATAATAGGCAACATTATAATAAGCAACATTACAGTGTAATGTTGCCCATTATAATCCACTTTTCTAATTAAATGAAATAACAACAAACAGTTACACCCATACCCGCCCCCGCCCCTCATTCGGACTCATCTGCCAAGCCTCACAGCCAGCATCCCAGCCAGACGGTGTGCGGGGGGCGGGGCGTGTGGCACACACTTCTCCTCTCCCGCTGCCTGTTACTAGGGACGCGGCCAGGAGTGGAGGTGAGTCACAGGACCCGCCCCCTTGCTGAGAAGCCCTTTGGCCGTTTGGGGCCCCGGGACCCTGCAATGCCACATATTCCACCAGGGGGGGGGGTGCCCAGGACCGGACCTGGACAGGGAGCCGCAGCAGAGGGATGAAAGAGCCACATGCGGCTCTGGATCCACAGGTTGCTGACCCCTGGTCTAGACCAATTTCTTTGCACTCCTTTTCACAAAGTGTAACCTACATAGTTCTAGCTGTACAGCCTCCCAGATAGCAAGGATAACTTGCCACAAACTTGTGGCAGGGTTAAATTGTAATTCTTGTTAACTTACTGCACAAATTCCAGGCAAGTTGTAGACTTGCAGAACACTTGCAGCACAAGTTCTAGTTGACACTTTTGAATTTGTAGCAAATTTGCTTGGCAAGTCTACAGCAAGAGTCCTGCAGGTCTTAGCAAGAGCTCTGCAAGTGTACAGCACTTTTGCAAAGCATGTTGATCTGGAGACTTGTCATGCAGACTTGCTGTAATTGTGCAACACAATTGTGAAGCTTGGCAAGTCTGCAATAGTTTAGCAAGTCATTTTCAAACTTGCAGCTCAATTGCTTGCTATCTGGGCTCTAGTGACTCCCTGGAATCTAAACCTGTTTTTTGGCTCTTCAAAGACTGTCTTTTAAACATATAAGGGATATTCTGCTTTCAGCTCTCACTCACAAGGTGGCCCTCCTTGTTGCCATCACCATTATAAGAAGAGTGTCCACGTTAGCAGCCTTGTCTTGTAAAGAATGTTTTATAGTTCAGCAAAAGGACAAGGTTGTCCTAAGAACCTTCTTTTGTTCAAACGTGGTGTCTGCCTTCCATCATAACCAGGCAAATGTTCTTCCATCACTCTTTCCTACTCCCCTTCCTCCTACAAAGATTTCTCTCCTTCACTTGGATACTGTTAGAGCTGGGTTTACCGTTCAGCTACATCTTCGCTAAAATACACTGACTGTCTCATTGTCATCCCTGAGGGTCCCAGTATGGGACATCCTATCTCACATTTTCTAGGTGGCTTAGGCTGGTTCTTTTTTAAGCCTTCCAGGTTGAGGCAAAGCCTCCATCATCTGAGTGCTTTCTGGGCTTTTCAGCATCAAGCTTCTGTTTCCCTGATTTGCAAGGTCTCCACCTGCTCCTTCTTTCACACATCTATGTTTTACCAGGTAAATCTTTGTGCACCAGCGAATGCCAGCTTATGACATACTGCAAGGTCCTTTAGGCAGCTATTTAAGCTGCAGGCTACCCACAGTGTTGTTTTGTTCCCACTGTCTTTGTTTTCAGGGCTGCTAGCATTGTTGTTGCTGTGTTGCTTTCCCCTCTGTTGGACTGCTTTGCGACATCCCGTTGGTCCTGAATTCTACTGATTTTGTGTCGCATGATGAACGATCGAGAAAACAGGATTTTTTTACTCAGAATTTATCAAGTGACAGAGGTCCAACCCCTTTGCGATCTTCCCCTAAAACCTACAGTTTTAGGGGAACTTAAACTGAAGCATCATGGGAGTGGAAGAGGTTATACCTTGCTGGCCAACAGCTTTTTTGTTTGTCAGTGACCCATT